CGGGGTGTTACTTCCGAGAGTCTGCTGCGGGGTGTTACTTCCGAGAGTCTACCGCGGGGTGTTACTTCCGAGAGTCTGCTGCGGGGTGTTACTTCAGAGAGTCTGTCGCAGGGTGTTGCTTCGGAGAGGCTGTCGCGGGGTGTTACTTTGGAGAGGCTGCTGCGGGGTGTTACTCTGGAGAGTCTGCTGCGAGGTTTTACTTCCGGAGGTCTCAATTTAATGGACTTCAATTTGCTTCAAGTGAAACTAAAGGAGATGCTTTCCGGTAGGAAGTTTTTGATTGTTTTGGATGATGTTTGGAATGAGAACTATGAGCAATGGGAGGTTCTGCGAATACCCTTCATGGCAGGAGCGCCTGGCAGTAAAGTACTTGTAACCACTCGAAATGAAAGGGTTGCATCCATCATGACCACATATCCGGTATACCATTTACCGGTGTTGTCTAACGATGCTTGCTTTTTGTTGTTTGTCACACATGCCCTTGGTGTTATTAATTTTGATGAACACCCGAATCTAAAAGAAATTGGTGAAGAAATAGTGCGAAAGTGCAAAGGCTTACCACTGGCAGCCAAGACTTTGGGTGGGCTTCTGCGTGGTAAATTAAGTTATCATGAATGGGAAGATTTGTTGAGGAGCAAGATGTGGGACATACCAGAAGAAAGGAGTGGCATCCTTCCTGCTCTGATGTTGAGCTATCATTATCTTCCTTCCCATTTGAAACGATGCTTTGCCTATTGTGCTATGTTTCCAAAGGACTATGAATTTGACAAGAATGACTTGGTTCTACTATGGATGGCTGAGGGGTTAATACGACAAGCAAAGGGAGAAAAACAAATGCAAGACGTAGGGCTTACATATTTTCATGATTTAGTTTCAAAGTCTTTTTTCCAACAATCAAATAGAAACAAAAGACTATTTGTTATGCATGACCTTATAAATGATCTAGCTCAATCCGTTGCTGGAGAAATATGCCTTCATTTCGAGGATTCCCTTGAAGACAAGCCGCATTCATTAATTGCAAAGCGTCGTTATTTGTCATTCACTCGCCACCAATATGAGGTTTCCAAAAGATTTGAAGCATTAGATCCTGTGCAGTGTTTACGGGCTTTCATAGCTTTACCGATGGATACATCATCTCGGGCAGCATGCTGTTACATAAGTAACGATGTGTTACAGGAGTTGCTAGCAAAATTCAGATGCTTAAGGGTGCTATGTTTGAGTGGATACTGCATAGACGAAATACCATATTCTATTGGTGATCTGAAGCATTTGAGGTACCTCAATTTGTCTCACAGTACAATTAAACAGTTACCAGAATCTGTGGGCAACCTACTCAACTTACAAACACTTTTATTGCGAGGCTGCAGGGAGCTCACTAAGCTGCCACAAGGTATTGAAAATCTAATTAATCTTCTTGTCCTTGATCTTACTGATACCATGAAATTAGTGGAGATGCCATTGCAAGTAGGCAATTTGAAAAATCTTCAGGTTTTGTCCAAATTCTGTGTTGGAAAGGACAGTCGGTTTGGCAATATTAGAGAATTGAAGGACTTGAAACATTTAAAAGGGGAGCTTTCTATTACTGGATTGGAAAATGTGGGGGATGTTCGAGATGCTAGGGATGCTAATCTAAT